ATATTTTATGTCTTATGTATAAAAGTAAATTTCAAAAATGTCCTCCAATTTTTCATGATCTCTATGAAATAAAACTTAAAAAATAAAATCTTTGCAAAAGATAATATTATAACACGTGTAGAAAATATAAATTGCTTTCAAAAGTTAAATAAAAAGATTACGCAGGTCTAGAAAAAAAAAACTTTTTTCGTGTTGCATGAGATATTTAAACTGATTTTTATGTATTTTTAAACGTTTTAAAGTTTTAATTTTGTTTTTGGAATAACAAAGTTATTAATTAAAAATTTAGTAGAACACTTGTGCAAGATTTCACTAAAGTAAGACTGAAATACAATAGGAGAGAGTCCATGTTTTGTTCTAAACATGAAGAAACATGTAGAACTTGAAGTATATTAAGTTTATAGACACTTAAGGCACCAAGCTTTCTTAAAAGAGGGTCGCAATAAATTCTGTGTGGACCAAAAACAATCTTGCACGCATGTTTTTGGTTACTATGAAGTTTTTTTAATTTACCATAGTCAGTACTACCCATAGTAATTTACCATAGTCATACATACCCTAAAATTACAATAAGAGATAGCACTATGAATAAATGAAAAGTATATATTTTATAAAGAAGCAGTGCTAAGAAATGGTTTAATTTTATATAATACAGAAATATTTTTAGTGCGAATAGAAAGTTCTTTTTCGTCTGTTCTTGTGTACGGTATAGTCTTCTGAAAAACCGGTTGGTTGTAAATAAACACACACACATTCAGACATTTATATGTACACACATATACAAACAGGTTGATTGTAAATAAACACACATACATGTAAACATACATATGTACCCAAATATACAGTTATACTTTCACGTATCCATAGCATATAGATGCATACATATATACATACAGTTACACTTATATACCCCAACATATAGATACATACATACTTAAATACATACAATTTCTACAAGATCTATTTAATCAGATTATTTCACACAAAATTTTATGTTGGACTATGCATCACGTATGTACTACATAACTTTAAAAGATATCCTAATGGACTTTTAACTAGCACATAGATCTTGATCTCATAGAAAGTTTAATACAAGACTATAGATAGAAAAAGTTTTTTGCATATATAGTGTCAATAAAATAACTTGACTCAACCTTACAACCTTGAATGTTTTAAGACATTTATCTAAATTTGTATAAACGCATAACTGGATTTAAGGGGGAAACTCCCCCTAAAATCATCAAAAAAACAAAAATTTAGTATGACCGTTTTTAGACATAAAAATTACCTTAGATTTCATTTATGTAATTGGTTTTTCATAAAAATCATTCTAAAGTGCAGAAATTTTAGGTTTTTTAATGGTGAGTTGATGTTTCGATATATCGAAAGTGTAATTTTTTTGTCGTATTTGAAAAAAAAAAAAAAAAAAAAAGAAAAAGCTGATGTAAAATACCTAACTTGGGTTAGGATGCTTCATTCTATTATACTTCTTGTTCAGCTAAGCAGATTAGGAGACAAAACGCACTCAGTTTAATTTAATTTAACAAGAATGCTAAAAAGTTGTAGAGTAAAACGTCGAACTAATCTTGCTAGGAAAAGGTGTAGATCTTTTCCAGTTAAAAAATCATTCATTTATGAAGAAGAAGTTGTTGTTGATAGTGTAAATAAAGAATCTACTCTAATTGTAAATATTTTAATTAATAATGACACTGTGATTCACTGTCTGAGTGATGAAAATAAAAATGACGCTTCTTATAATATCGTAAATATTCCAGCATCACATTCAAAAATACGACAAATTGATGTAGTTGAAACTTCTACTCTACTGTCTGGATATAGAGTTATAGATATAGAAGTGTTATCTGTTATTTTTAAAGAACTTATTTGTCCAATGTGCTTCAATGAAGACTCTCTTGTGTTGTCTGACAACTTAAAAGATCGACATGGACTTGCCTCTTTTTTAGTTTTAAAATGCTCAGATTGTTTATTTCGTAAAAACTTTTGTACTTCAAAAAAAAGTGGTAAGCAGGGATTCGACATAAATAAGCGAGCTATTTACACAATGCGGTCGTTGGGTCATGGTCACGCTGGACTTGAAAAATTCACTTCTTTAATGAATATTCCTCCGCCAATGACTAGAAATAACTACGACAAGCTTGCTAAAACAATCTCTAAAGTTGTGAAAAAAGTAGCAATAAAAACTGTGTGATGCTGCTGCGGAAATCAGACAAAATTCGAATACTGATATTGTTGATACTGGTGTTTCATGTGATGGGACATGGCAACGACGAGGTTTTTCATCATATAATGGCGTAATGACTGCAATATCTATTGATAGTGGAAAGATATTGGACGTAGAACCAATGAGTAGAATTTGTAAAGCTTGTATTTTAATGGAACCAAAAAAGAAAAGTGAACCTTTACATTTTGCTGAGTGGAGAAATGTACATAAGTGTGCATATGACTACAAAGGGTCTGCTGGGGGTATGGAGCCAATTGGTATGAAAAAAATATTTGAACGTTCTATTACAGAACGCAAGCTTCTCTATGTAAACTATTTAAGTGATGGGGACAGTAAGAGCTATTTAAATGTTATGAATGTCTACCCTGGTTTGGAAGTAAAAAAACTTGAACAAGATTAAGAAAGTTGAAGAAAAAAACTAAAAACCTTGGTGGTAGAGGTAAATTAACAGATGCGACAATTGATTGGTTGCAAAGTTATTTTGGTATTGCGATCAGAGCTAATGTAGGAGATTTAGCATCTATGAAAGCTGGTACTCTGGCATCGCTTAATCATGTTGTCTCCAATAAGGAGAATAATCTACATTTTCTACATTGCCCAGTAGGAGCTGATAGTTGGTGCAAATATAATTCAGATAAAGCCAATGGAACAAATACTTATAAACCTGGACCAGGTTTACTAACTTCTATTGTTTATAAAATCAAAACAACCTTTGCAGAACTCAGTGCTGACCAACATTTGGAAAAGTACTTACATGGTAAGACACAAAATACTAATGAAAGTTTTAATTGTACTATCTGGGAGCGTTTACCTAAAACGAAATTTGTATCATTTAGTCAATTAGAATTTGGAGTTTATGATGCAGTAGCTAATTTTAACATTGGTTGAAAAGCCTCAATTTTAGTTTATGAATCTTTGGACATAATTCCAGGAGTATATACTCTTAAAGGTTGTAAAAATTTAAACTATAAACGACTGTTACATTCTAAGTACAGAAATATTGATAAAAACAAGTTGCGACGAAAAATAATTTGCGGCAAAAAACATAACAAAAATGATAAAGAAAAAGAAAAAGAAGGGAAGTTGTATGAAGCAGGAGGTTTCTAATACTTTTTATTAGATATTTTAACTATAGTATGTGTTTTACTTAAAGTTTTATGTGCTAATTTTTTTTTCTTTTCGCGTTTTCTCAAAATAGTCTTTTTTCACACGCCGGCCGTTCTTAAGAACCGTTTAACCAATTTTGATGCAATTTTCTGGAGTTGTTTTTATGATTATAAACTGTGGTTTAATACAAACAGTTTTTTAAGTTGAGGTTTAGATTGTTTTATTTTTGATATTTTGAATAAAAAATATTTTCACCATCTTTAAATGTGCACACATCGCTCAGATTTTTAGTTACAGGAAAATGCCGCTATTAAAACACCCTTTGATCTTTTGTGAAGCATTTGGTGAAAGCGTGAGATCTTGCATGGTTATTTAGTTTTTACGGCCGGTGTGAATGCATTTTTTGCCCATTTTTATGTGGTAACTATGGCAACCAAAAACCATTTTGTATTTTTTTTCAAGGATTTTGTTTATTCAAATTATATTGATGTTTTATATTCTTGATTTTGTTTAAAATGTTTAATACTTCTGTTTAGGGGAGGGGGGGGCTTGCCCCTTAATAAGTTTATTGCTATTTTACAATCCTATCCTTTAGTAATCCTATCCTTTAGTATGAGAACAAATGCAAAAAGTTGCAATGATATAAATTTTGTCTGTTTTTAAACATGTGTTTGTTAATATAGCTTTGTTTTCTCTACAACAGATTCTCCATAACATAACATAGATACCCCATTAACATACGAGGGAATCATTTTGTGAAGGTTGAGAATAATCACAATGTTTTTTTTAATCTTATTTGTTTAAACAGGATGTAAATTTCAAACTTATAAGCAAACAAAAAAAAAATTAATCTATTAAAAAAAGTAAAAAAACAAAGTAAATAGTTGTGAAACTAACAATACCATATTTATTAAATGCCAAAAAATATTTTATTAAAATTGAAAATTGTCAATGAATTTTAATAGAACATTTATTTTGTCAAAGAAGTCATTGCCTACTAGTATTGGGTTGGGGAGGCGATTTTATGACATTGACATTTGACATCAATTATAGGAAGTTTTCGAATCTCAGAAAAAGTTAAAAAAAAAAGATCTAACCAACCAAATATTTGCTTCACTCAATAAAAGCAAAAATTTATCTTTAATAAATTTGTAAGAAATTTAATCAAAGACTAGATTAAAAGTCCACGCCACACAATAAAAATGCTCTTTCCTAATCCAATAAAAAAAAAAAAACCATGCCTTTTTTCCCCTTAGTATATTTTGCATTTTACAATATATAACCATTTAAAAAATTTATTATAATTTATTAAAATTCCACAAAATCAGCTTAATGCGGTAGTGGTGTAGTGGTAGAGCGCTCGCTTCATAAACGAGTGGTTCCGAGTTTGATCCCCACCACGTCCTTGGTAGTACCGCGCTCAACTCGTTTCTCCGCGCAATGACCTTGTTCATCAAGGTTCGTGTTTCGGAGTTATAGAGTTGAGAGAGGGTTATAACCACAAATAAGTAGCCTCCTCGTCTGTAGTGGCCTTCTCGGCCTTGAGGAGATGAATTAAATTAAAAAAAAAAAAAAAAAATAGAACGCCTGGACCAACTTTAACTTGCAAACTAATGTAACACTTCGTGGTCAGCACTAAAAAAATTAAAGCTTTTTATATTAAATAATATTCGACCTGATTTATAATACACAAACTATTCAACTTTATTTTCTGCATCTTCATTGTCCACTATTTCCCATAATGCTTTGCGTTCATTATATACCTTCCATGCCATTTCTCGATCTTTTCTAGACAAACCTTTTTTTTTTGCTTTACTAGAAGAAAATTTTCTAAATATATCAACAACTTCAGCATCAAGTATTTTTGCTTTTTGACGAACTTCTTGTTTTTTCATAGCAATTTTAGCGCGAGCTACTAACTTACTGACGCAATGTTTATTGTGGGATCGCACGGCTTTCAGCTCATTCTGAAGTCTACGCAACTCCATTAAAATTTCATCGTCGTCGTCCTTATTTTCTTCTTCATTTAATGCGTCAATTAATCCGAGCGAGTAAAGCTCCTCTTTTATAGCGGATTCTAAAGATTTTGAATGATTATTGTTCGAGAGATTTTTATGAGGTCTAATTTCGGTTTTGTTACTATCAAGTTTGACGGCATCGTGAAGATCTTTTTCGCAAACAGGAGCCATTATATTTTCGTCAACAAGTGCTGATATAAGGCGCTGCGTAAATGATCCGTAAGAGCATTCCTCTTTCTCTGTTAACAGTGCACTGTCATTATTTAGTCTTTCAGTTAAGTTAACATTCGAAATTGGTGAACTTCTCTTTTTATCAATTTTTGCGCTTTGCTGTTGCTCTTCAAGGAAATCTTCTTTATTCCATACTTCGGAGTAATGCACTCCTAATGCAGGCATTTTGTAATACTCGCTGATTTCCGCTTTGGAGGAAAGAGATTCCTCAATTGCAGTAATTTGTTCCGGTAAAATATCCGAACAATAAGGTTCAACATAGCTCCAAAATTTATTTGGTGCTTCATATGTAAGTTTAGGTTTGGAAGAACAAACATCGTTATCACTCGAGTCTGTATTGGGTTTGCCTCAATTAAAAAATATATATACATAT